GGGCAGTGCCTGTCTGACTCTGGCCACGCTCTCCCAGTCACCAGGCAGGGAAAGCACAGCAGCCCTCACGTGCCAGTCCTGCTGGAGGTGAGCTGGATTTAATGAGGAAGTTGACAGCGAACCTGGAGAGATTAATCTTCCATCTGCAGCAGTGGAAAGCTGACGCTTCCTCATTCATCCACCGCTCTCACGCTGCAGCCACTTCCCTCGGTTGGCTTTTTCTGTTCTGCTGTTTGGCTGTTGGCCATGTTCATACTTACAGGTGTCTTTGAAAGTCTTTGGAAGAAGGTGTATCAGAGCGTGTCCGGCGCTGCCTTGACGCTGGAGGATTTTCTTTGCTCTTAACCCACTTGCTTTTTAAAGAAAAAGACTGAATCCAGGAGATGTCCAGGCAGCAGGTCAGGATAGGACATGGCACAAGGGATCTGCTGCCCTTACAAAGGTGCTTGGAGGGGGATACCCGAGATGGGCACCAGGAGCTGTGAAGAAAGGCTCCTGGTGACACGGGGCTCTCACATTATGGCTGCACAAAGCAGGTTGGTGGGATGGGGCTGTCGTACCCCGTTACCTTGGCGTTGCCTTCCTGTGGTTGCAAGAGGCTATAAAACCTGAAATCCAGCCGTGGAGCTTGGCCCTGTAAGAGCTGTCCTTGAAAATGAACCTCCGGCAGGCTCCAGGGACGCTGTGGGCTCCCCAAAACCTCATACTAGAAGCTACCTCGTCCACCTGCAGCTTTCCCAGCCGCAGGGTTTGGAGGCTGCACATGGAGCAAGGGTTTCCCTTCAGCCCAGCTCCATCCTGGCCCTATGGACACCCCTTCACCCCCTGCACCCATGCTGACCCCATGGAAATTGTAATAACCCAAGGCTGTGCCTTCTGCAAGTCTTGGGTGATGGCCAAGAAGGCCAAGGGCATCCTGGCCTGGATCAGCACCAGTGTGGCCAGTAGGACCAGGGAAGTTCTCTTCCCCCTGCACTGGGCACTGGTGAGGCTGCAACTCGAGTGCTGGGTTCAGTGTTGGGCCCCTGAGTCCAAGAAGGACATGGAGGTGCTGGAGCGTGTCCAGAGAAGGGCAACGGAGCTGGGGAAGGGTCTGGAGCACAAGTGTGCTGAGTTCCCTTGTGGCTGAGGGAACTGGGGGTGTTGAGCCTGGAGCAAAGGAGGCTGAGGGGAGACCTTCTGGCTCTGTGCAAGTCCCTTGGAGGAGGGGGGAGAGAGGTGGGGGTGGGTCTGTTCAACCAAGGACCAAGGGACAGGACAAGAGGAAATGGGCTCCAGTTGTGGCCAGGGCAGTTGAGATGGGATGTGAGGAAGAATTTCTTTGCTGAAAGGGTTCTGAGGCATTGGAAGGGGTTGCCCAGGGCAGTGGTGGAGTCCCCATCCCTGGAGGGATTGAAGAGTCGTGTAGACATAGTGCTGAGGGACATGGGTTAGTCGGGGACTGGTCAGTGTTGGGTTCATGGTTGGACTCGATGATCTTAGAGATCTTTTCCAACCTTAATGATTCTATGATGCTTGGAGATGGGGCTGAACCCTCAAATCCATCAACCTCCTAAACAACAACAAACGTCATGATTTTCCAGGCCAGTGGCAGTGATTTGGGGACTGGTGCTTTTCGTTTCAGGTGGCACTGAAAGGAGAGGAGCTGGAGGTATTCCTGTGCTGAAGGTTAATGGTGCACTGAGGCGCTTTGCTGGGTTAGGTCAAATAACACAGAAATTCTGCATTAAAAGGGATTTTTGTTGTTGTTCTCTTTTTTAATCTATTTTTTAAGGGGAAATACAGTAACTCTGGCACATTTTAAATGTGTTCTCGTGCAAGTGGTGCATTTAATGAGGCTGAGAGGAAGCACTTGCTGATTGAAGGCCATTTTTTTCTGCTTTGGAGTAGAAAACATGAAGTGCTGTCCCTTGAGCAGCTCCCAAAGAGGTGGGATGAGGGTCCCCGTGAGATGTGGGGACTCTCTCACCCATCCCAGCTCCCGTGGGTACCATCAGCTCAACACAGCCTCTGGTGGGCCTAGGACATGGGGCTGGGATGTGAGTAAAGAGGAATCAATCAGGAAGGAGGTGATTTTTCTCAAATAATGATGTCCTTATGTTTAAGAAAGATATTCAAAGCCACCTCTAGTAATTTGGGGGCATCAATGTGATCGCTCACGAGCATCCCTGATGAGGGAGCTGCGGGTTTGATGTCCTGCTCGCACAGCAGCTCAACATCTGGTTCTCTTTTCTGCCACATTCATTTTTTTACACTAATTTTAGCAATGAGAGTGATTTTAGCAATTGAGTTGATCCTGAGTGATATTTCACTAATATTGATTGCTGGGCATAATTAGGAAATAAATAGCTATAATAAATACACAACACATGCATGTCCCTTAATAGTGGGAGAGAGCTGAACCCTTCTCCTCCTTGCAAGGACATCTGGCCAGCTGATGTGTCTCAAGTGCAGGAGAGAAAGAGCTGTTCAAAGTATCAAAAGCAAAATAAATCAATGAAGTGAGCTTGTAATTAGAGGGAAAGGAGTTTGCTGAGGACCAGGGGTGGTGTCAGGATTTCCTAGGAAGAAGCTAGCTCTGATACAGGAGTTAAAAATGTCCAATGCTGTAAATTTTGGAATAAGTGAATTTAGGAATGCAAAATATTTGGAAAGTGAAGCAGTAGGATTTTAAACAAACTCCAAATCTTTAATTCCTGTTGGTTTCTAGGCAATACCTGCAGCTGGAAACTTGCCAACCTGCTTGGGGCTTTCTCATCGCTCCCTGGGCCGGTGCGGGGGACAGGGGAGGCTGTGGGTTTGTGATGGCTTCAGTGAGGTGTTACAGAAGAAAAAGGAAATAGCCTGAAGTTCCCCTATTTTGGAGGACTTGAGGTGTATTGTGCTGGTCCATTGCTTGGGCTGTCTGTCCCCAGAGCCCTGCTGTTCCTGCTCACACCATGGGGAGTGGGGCAGAGCTGGAAATTCAGTTTTAATTTAGTTTTTGGGTTCTTTGAGGTTTGATTTATCACTTTAGCCCATCTCTTCATTTATGTGGGGTCAGTGCTGGCTCCTCATTCAGTGGCCAGGAGAGCATCACCTCCTGAGCATGCTTTGCCGTCATGTGAGATGGTGGTTTTCTTTCCTCAGCCATCCCCGATAATTCCTGAGAGTGCAGCATCTTCAACACAAAACCCAAGAGACACCTTATTCCCCTGTTTCCACCCCCAAATATTTAACACAGGACCTTCTGCTCACATGACATAGTGGATTAGTGACCCAGAAGTGACCTGCCATCTCAAAAAGCTTTTTCCATTCTCTTACCTGAAAATGCCCTAATTATTCTCCAACTTCACCTGCTTTTAGGAAAATAGGGGTTTCAGAATGTGGCAGCGAGCCAGGAGATGCTGGGGCTGTTGTGGGTGAAGATCTTCCCTGTCTGGGTCAGGGACACCAAATTCAGGGCTGGCTATGGCCGCATCCTGCCCCGTCATGGGCTTTAAAACCTGTTTTACGCAAAAACCCCCACGGCTGTTCTTCCTCTAAAGCAAAGGATTGAGGAACTCCCACAACTTGTAGGTATTAGGTAGGTGGGTGAGTATCCAAATTGTTGGACAAATTGGTGAGAATGGTGTATACTGGAGCAGCAAAACTCAACTCAACTGAAGCAGCAAAACTCAACTCAAGTGGAGCAGCAAAACTCAACTCAACTGAAGCAGCAAAACTCAACTCAAGTGGAGCACCAAAACTCAACTCCACTGAACTCAACTGGAGCAGCAAAATTCAACTCAACTCAACTGAAGCAGCAAAACTCAACTCAAGTGGAGCAGCAAAACTCAACTCAAGTGGAGCAGCAAAACTCAATGCAACTGAAGCAGCAAAACTCAACTCAAGTGGAGCACCAAAACTCAACTCCACTGAACTCAACTGGAGCAGCAAAATTCAACTCAACTCAACTGAAGCAGCAAAACTCAACTCAAGTGGAGCAGCAAAACTCAACTCAACTGAAGCAGCAAAACTCAACTCAAGTGGAGCACCAAAACTCAACTCCACTGAACTCAACTGGAGCAGCAAAACTCAACTCAAGTGGAGCACCAAAACTCAACTCCACTGAACTCAACTGGAGCAGCAAAATTCAACTCAACTTAGCTCAACTAAACACAACCAGAGCAGCAAAACTCAACTCAGCTCAACTCAGCCCAGCCCGGCCCAACTGCTGGGATGCAGACAGCATCTCCCTAACACTCCTCTCGTGATGGTTTGCAGGAGCCAGGGTTGTCTAAGAATATAATTTAATAAAAAATTCCTTTTTCACCCTGCAAACCTTATTCCGTACAGTTCTTGTGCAGGAACCCCCCACCCACCAATGTTTTGCTAGGCAGTAAGGTTGGGATTTGTTAAGCCAGGGTTTCCCTGGTTCCCTGCTTTGCACCCAGCTCTGGCACAGCAGTGGGAGCTCTGGGAGTGAGGGTGCACCCGGCAGCTCTGCCAGTGCTGGATTTGGGAAGCCAAGACCCATGGTACACTTCCAGAGATGCTGTGCCTCAGTTTCCCCACCTGTAAAGTGGCCTTTTCGAAGGGGAAGGATGGCAGGACAAGGTGGTTTCCTCGTGATGCTGGTAGCAGTGTTTTCCATCCGTATTAGATTGGAAAGGCAGCCTTAAATTGTTTTGCAAACTTTGTTTTTATGTAAAGAAAAGAGGCTCCTGCAGGGTGGTGCTTTTCTTTAACTGGAGCCTTTTTTTTTTGCACGTGTTTGCTGGAGAGCAACAAAGCTGATGAAGGTGTTTCCAGGACTCTTGGTGTCATTTTCCAAGTTGGTTGGTTATTGCAGTGAAGCTGTTCCCACAGCTCTTTTGGTTTTCAGCAACTTTTTGAGGGGATTTGAGGCCATTTCCATGAGGTCTCGTGGGTTGTGATGCCCCCGGCGCAGGGATGTGGATTCCCGAGCAGATCCCCTTACAGTTTGACCTGGGCACGTGTTTTGGGACCAGTTTTGACCCCTCTGACACAGGGATGCTCTCGTTGCAGGTGTCCTGTCTCTGCGGCTCTGCACCATGTCTGCTCTGTGGCTGCTGCCCTTCAACCAAGAACTCCACCATCTCCCGCCTCCTCTTCACCTTCTTCCTCTTCCTCGGCACCCTCGTGTCCATCATTATGATAATCCCCGGCGTGGAGAAGGAGCTGCACAAGGTAAATAACTCCTGGAGGTCACTGGGCTTGGTCACTATGGGGAAGGGGTTTAGCTCCTGGTGGGTATGTGAGGCTGGATCAGAAAGTGAGTTTTTGGGGTTAGATGTTGCTTCTGTTGGGGTTTTTTGGGAGGAAAAAACTGGGAGGGGTTGTTACTAACTGTGGTTTTCCACAGAGGGGAAAATGCAGTGGGATAATGTCATGCAGATGTTGCTTCTGTTGGGGTTTTTTTGGGGGGAAAAAACTGGGAGGGGTTGTTATTAACTGTGGTTTTCCGCAGAGGGGAAAATGCAGTGGGATAATGTCATGGATTAGCTAGTTTTCCCAGATGTCTCCCAGGAAGGAGGCTTCATAGGCTGCCCAGAGAGGCTGTGGAGTCTCCATCTCTGGAGATGTTCAAAACCCACCTGGACACTTTCCTGTGTAACCTGCTCTGGGTGACCCTGCTTTGTCAGGGGGGTTGGACTGGGTGATCTCCTGAGGTTCCTTCCAACCCCCACCAGTCTGTGATTCTGTGAAAGTTTCCTACATCCTGTTTTTGGGGTTCAACTGGCCAAGTGACTTGCAAGTCATGGAGGTGGGGCTTCAGACGCAGGGAGTCGAGCTCTGCCTGCTGAGCTAACGCGAAGGCTGGGCTGGGCTTTTTGGGAAACGCTGGTTTCATCCCAGCTTTCCACTGCCCTGCAGAATGGCTTTAGCTGTGTCACCCCACTGCTGTCCCCAGGTAGGCCAACAGCTTGCTTTACAGGTGGCATTGAGGCAGTGATGGGCTGGCCCATCTTTGGTGGCACCAGGGCTGGTGGTGGGTGTGGGGTGCTGCTCACCATTCCATCGCCTTTGCAGCTCCCTGGCTTCTGTGAAGGCAGCGGATCGGTCCTGGGGGTCCAGACCCACGTTGACTGTGGCAGCTTCCTGGGCCACAAAGCCGTGTACCGCATGGGCTTCGCCATGGCCGCCTTCTTCTTCCTCTTCGCTGTGATCATGGTGTGTGTGCGCAGCAGCAAGGACCCGCGAGCTGCCGTACAGAACGGGTGAGGGTCCAGCCCAGGGGGGATGCGGGTGTGGGGACCATATGGGTTCCTGCATGCAGACTGTGCCTCCTCTCTCTTCACACAGTTTCTGGTTCTTCAAGTTCCTGGTGCTGGTGGGGATCACAGTGGGGGCCTTCTACATCCCCGATGGTGCCTTCACCTCAGGTGAGGAGCTGCCCCTGGTGTCCTCTGCTTCTCTGGGTTAACCATCAGCACAGGATTAAACCTGGGGCTGGAGTTAGAATCATAGAATGGTTTGGGTTGGAAGGGACCTTAAAGCTCATCCAGTTCCAACCCCCCTGCCAGCAGCAGGGACACCTTCCACTAGACCAGGTTGCTCAAAGTCTCATCCAACCTGGCTTTCAACACTTCCAGGGAGTAGCAACCACAACTTCCTTGGTCAACCTGTTCCAGTGTCTCACCATCCTCACAGTGAAGAACTTCTTCCTAATATCTCATCTAAACCTCCCCTCTTTCAGCTTAAACCCATTTCCCCTTGTTTTGTCATTAACTGCCCTTATGAAAAGTCCCTCCCCAGCTTTCTTGTAGGCCCTTCAGGTATTGGAAGGCTGCTAGAAGATGCTATAAGAGTTGGCATCCCCGCTGCCCTGTGCCCCTGCAGATTCCCGTTTTCCTTGCTCTTAATTGGTTTTTCTCTTCTTCTCAAGTCTGGTTTTACTTTTGTGTGGTTGGCTCGTTCCTCTTCATCCTCATCCAGCTCGTCCTCCTCATTGACTTTGCCCACTCCTGGAGCCAACTGTGGCTGCGCAACGCGGGCGAGAGCAACGCCAAGGGCTGGTACGCAGGTTGGTAGGGCTGGTGCTGCAGAGGGTTAGGGATGGGGAAGCTCCTTCTGGGGGTGGGTGACACTGAGCTGGTGGAGACTCAGAGCTCTACTCCAGCCTCTTTCTTTTTTACATTCTCCCCCAGCCCTCTGCATTGTCACCTTCATCTTCTACGCCACCTCCATTGCGGCCATAGTCCTGCTCTATGTCTACTACACCAAACCTGAGGGCTGCACAGAGGGCAAAGTCCTCATCAGCATCAACCTCATCCTCTGCCTCATCATCTCTGCTGTGTCCATCCTGCCCAAGATCCAGGTGAGGTGGTGGGGGGCACCTGGGAGGCTGGTGGCTGTGTCACTGCTGGGTACAGGACCAGCCCTGAGTACCTGCTGTTGTGTTTGCAGGATGCTCAGCCACACTCAGGGCTGCTCCAGGCATCTCTCATCACCCTCTACACCATCTACGTCACCTGGTCTGCCCTGGCCAATGTACCCAGTAAGCAAGATGCAGCCTTGGGTTTGGGAGGGAGTATACGGGGCAGGACCACACACTGGGGTGGGTGCTTTGCCCCCTGGATCTTTGGGGGCTGGGGAAGGGTGCTGAACCCCCTGCGTGTCCCCCCCAGCCCAGACCTGTAACCCCACACTGCTGGTGAGGAACAGCACCGGCTCGGCGATGACCACCCAACCACTGACCACCTGGTGGGACGCCCCAAGCATCGTGGGGCTGATAATCTTCATCCTCTGCACCCTCTTCATCAGGTGAGGACTTGGCTCATGTGCCCTTGGCTCATGTCTGCCTGGAGCAGAGAGGCATCTGGAAGTGATGCCGGAGGGGAGGTCACAGCTCAGTCCAGGGTTTTTGTCACTAAGAACCTCTTGCAAAGTCACCCTGGTCCCTGGGGACACAGGCTGG